GTTGCCTCTGCGCCATCGTTTTAATTACAGGCTGTTATTCCATTTAAAAAATCAGCACTGGGATTAAGTAAAGGTGCTGTCATTTTAAAAGCCAGACTCATGGCCTAAAAACTCATCAGTGAATCAGAGGACAAATGTTTCCATTGTGCTGGTTAAAAATAGGAGCCCTGGAAAAAGTGACAGAATGAGATGAATGCCATTAAAGTGTAATTACATTTACTGTAAATGTGAGCCTGGGGAAGCGTCTATTCTAGGCAGAGATGCTCTAGCAGAGCCTGTGACACGGAAAACCCAGAGCTTCGGCTGATGGCGGCTTTTATGTTCTGAATCATTATAGTGCATGTTACCGTGCATCGTTCCTCGTGTCCATTAGCCTCATTAGGGATGCTTGAAAGAGCCATCACTCCAGTGGGAAGGAAGGACCATGCAGTTCCCCTTGCACCTCAGAATGTGACTTTTCTGTTCTCAGAAGGCAGTGTTTCCATACATCTGTCTTCTGTATGTCCATAAATCTGTGTGCATGTCTCTGGATCTCCTACCTCAGCAGTCAAGTGTAGTAGCTGGACTGGACATACTTGAAAGGCAGAGCTAAATTGTTTTTCATGAAATAGCTTGTGTTTTTCTGATTTTAAAACAATGCCTTCTTGCCATATAAAGATTTGAAAAAAATATGAAGAAAATAGACTATCCTAAATCCAGCCACACACAGTTAAAGCACTGTTAACATTTTGATGAACATCCTTCCAAATCAGAATCTCTTTGTGGATTTAGAGACGGTCCTGACATTTCTGTTGCTGTTGTTAAAGCTCAGTAATATATTCTGGTCCTATTTTTATGATAATCTAAAAGGACGTCATCATGTCTAGTGGCTTATAGGACAGGGTGCTATGGGATCAGTGTACCATCATTTACTTACTTAATAATGACACTCAGTGTCATAATGAGCCAAATAAAATTTTGATTCAGAGTTAAAAATCATTCTTTTCCATTATTGAAAGACAAATGACTTCAAGTTTAAAAATATATGTATACTGTGCTTTGATGAACATGTTGCATAGACATCTTTACACAGTTGGCCAATTATTTTCTTATGTATTCCTAGAAGTGGGATTGCTAGATAAAAGATATGCACATTTACTATTTTGATATCTCTTTTACCAAATTTGCATCTGGATATGTACCAGTTTACACTCCCACAAACACCTTTGTCAGTGTTAGGTATTATAAATCCTACCAATCAAGAAAACAATTTTTAAAAATTTGTATATAATTGGCCATTTGTATGTCTTTGAAAAATTACCTGTTCTTTACCCATTTTTACTGAGGTATTCTTTTTCATTGATTTGCAACTGCTCTTTGCATATTAAAGACACTAGCACTTTGTCATGTGTTTGCTCTCATTTTTTCTCAGTTTATCTTTGTTTTGAAACTGTTTATTTTTGTTTTGTTTTAGTTCATTTTTGCCATATAGAAGTGTTACAGTGTTAAGCACTTTCTTGTTTTCCTTTATGACTTTTGAGAGCACAAAACTTGTCTGAGTCCAGATAAAAGTGGCACCTATGTTTGTTTCTGGTATTTTAATGTTTTCATTTTGTTTTGTTTGATATAATTTTAGTATAAGAAACCCACCTCTATTTTTGCTTCCCAGAGGGTTATCTAATTAGGATTTTTGTTTTTAAAGCTTTGTTGGAGAGGTAGAGGCCAAAGAGACCAGAGAAAATAGAGGCTGAAAAGCAGGACTGGGTTCTTTTTCTGACCTCTGTCCTCAGCATCCTTTCCCCCATAGACGGAGGACTAAGGGAAGTCAGAGTAGCTTTTAGTGTTGACTTTCCAGGAATGTTGGCTGAAGCCAGGAATAAAATTGGGACAGTTCCCTGAAACTTGGCATGCAAGTTAGCTTTAAAGGGAATGATAAACAGGACGATGTTAAGAGGTAGCTCATGTAATAGAAAGGGTTTCCACTTTTCCCGGAGGCTACCTTCTCCACGCTGAGTCCACGACTATTAGAGACTTGGTGTCCTTCACCTCTCCTCACAGTGGTGTGATGCTAATGCCAGCGCTGGCTCTCTGGTGACCAGCCATCAGTGCTTCTGGCCGAAAACCCCTTGAGGATAGGTGCTGACAACTCACCCACATGTCCCCTGCAGTCACATGGCCCCTGGCGCACAGCTGGCACTCGGAGGGCCTTTCCAACACGAGAGGAAAGGCACTGGGGTAGTTCCCCTGATCTTGCAGGGTCCACAGTGGGGATCAGTCTCCACCAGGTGTCATGATGAGTCAAGCAAAATTTGGGCTTATAGCTAAAAATTATGCATTTGTTGTATTCATTTCATTTTTCATGTTCACTTTTGCAGCAGGCGTTGTTGAGTGTCTGCTGCATGCCAGGAAAGTGCTGGGTGCTGGGAGCCTGCCCTCGCCATGCTCCCAGATGCGGTGGGGAGAAAGCACTGTGGGTGCGGAGAGAAGAGGTGACGCCCGAGAACGCCCACAGCCTGGGCTTTGCTGTGCCCGGTGAGGTGGGAGCGGCGTCTGAGGGCGGTGGCTTCCGGGATGAGTCCTGAAGGATACGGACAGGTAAGACATTCTATTCATTAAAAACACTTTCTCCCAGGAAATCCAGGGCAAAAGGGCAGCCTGCAAGCAGGCCCAGGTTTTGTTCTTGTTAAGGGTGAGCCCTTAAACCTGCCAGGAAGCTTAGGCAGAGGTTTGTTTCAAGTTTCTTTATCATCCGGACGTCTGTCGCAGTCCAAAGTCTAGATTTCTGCGTCTGCATACTGTGCATCAGACTACACTGACGTGGACCACGCGCGCCCTGAGCATAATTAGGACACAGTGGCAGCCGACTCGGCTGGAGGGAACCGCGCAGTCGGCCTGCTCAGCTGGGGCCTGGACGCTGGCGCTGGGCTGGGCTGGGCAGAATCCTGGTGGTCTTGTCCCCACCGGGTGATGGGGAACCACAGCTTCCTCTGTCCTGGACATTTGTCTCGTATTTCTGCAAAATTTATGTTCATTTGGCAAGCACCCTGGTGTGGTCTGGTTCCTACTGCGCTGTATCCATTCAGATTTTCAGGCCTTTTAAGCAGGAGCTGGTGTTGGCTGGAACAGGTAACTCCCCGACTCACTTACACTATCTGATTCCTTTTACTGTATTGTGATATTTAACACAGACGCAGGTACCAATGTAAGAGACGTTACATTTGTGTAAATTATGAGGTTCAGTAACCAAATGGATGCTTGTGAACTTGCTGTCAGTACCACAACTGGAATGTTACCAGTATGTCTGAAACCACCCTGCCCCTCCCATCCCTCCCCCGTCTCTCCCCCGGAGGTAACCAGTCTCTGATATATTGGTTTTTCATTATCTTGCTCATTTACAAGTAGCATCACCATATAAGTATGTATGGGTAAACAATAGACCATGTCTTTTTGCTTGATGTCAAGTTTGGTAAGTATGTTGCCTTCTGAGACTTCTTTTCCCACTCAGCTTAGGTTTCCAAGACTCAGCCATGTGTTTGCGCGTGGCTGGAATTCCCTCCCTTTTCCCCGCAGCATGCTATTCCTCTGTGCGCCTCTACCACGTGGTGTCTGATTCTCCCTTTTTATAGATGAGCATTTGGGTTATTTCCAATTTGGGGGCCGTTGCAAGCACTGCTGCAGCCAGAGAACCAGGTATTGCTCCTCGACTCCAGATCCACGCTTTTCTGCCCTGCTTTGAGATGCTGGAGCTGGGCCTTTAAACATGTTTCTTTCACCAGATTTGTCACAAAAAGTTTCTAGACAGACATTGTGGAAGGAAGGAGCTTCTCTTCCTGGTTCAGAGCGCTGTCCCTTCTGGTTCTGTGGCGTGGTTGCAAGTGGTGTATCTGACACCAGGGGCTCCACTGACACCTGGAGGGAGGTGTCCTGCTCTCCAGCCTGGGCTCTGCCTCTGGACCAGAGGTGGGCCCCCAAACCCTGTGAACACCCTTTCCATGAGGTCGGAGTCCCAGCCAAGTCCGCTCCTTCCCTGGACTGCTCCCTGAGTCCTCGGTGTTCTTCAGAGCTCTTATTCCTTCCCAGTGTGAGGCCTTGTCACTAGTCAGCACACTTTTATGTTACATTTTCCTTGTTCCATTTACTTGTCTGGCTTTTGTCTCCTGTCTGCACCCCAGCCAATGTAATCCACACCCAGGTCCTCTGGAGCCCTGTGGACCAGGCAGGGCTGAGCGAGGTGGCGGGTGCAGTGGCCTCGGTGCACGGGGTGTCAGGCTGGCTCCTCTCCCTGGCCCTGGCGGCCAGCACCCTCAGGCTGGCTCTGAGCTCCTCACTCTCTAGACCTACTTATTTACTGTTGCACTTTAACCTCGATCGATACTGCAAAAACTTAATCGTTCCTGTGATCGGTTTTGAGTTTCCAGTTTTTAAAAAATACCTTCACTTGTAGCTAGTATCTGCGATTCACAATTCACTGGGTTTAGATCCATTGATAACTCGAGGCTGAATTCTGGAAACATCAGCAGGGGTAATGCGACCACGCCCAGCTTCCAGCATCCTCTGAAAGATGTCTTACTCCTTCCCACTCTCTGCCGTGGTGGGTGGGGACAGGATTTCTAAAAAACTCCTCTCTCAGGAAAGCCAGGGAGGTGCTCTTCTGAACAGAAATCCCCCCCTTGTTTTGCTTGGAATAGTCGAGGAGTTTGAAATCCTCGTTCATCCAGAGTTTTTTTCCTTGTCAGTGCAAGCACCTGGACATCTTTCGTGTAGCCCAGCATCATTTTAGAAGTAATCTGTAGGGCCCAGGCCCTGCTGTCTGACAGGCCTGAATTTGCACCCAACCTGCCGTTTATACCTGAACAGGTCATGTTAGTCTCTGAGCCCCCCACCTCCCCAGAGCAGGGATGGCAGTGGGATGAGCCTCCTGGGTGACTGAGCACACGAGACCTTGGAGAGGGTCAAGGACTTGGGGAGTCTGGGCCTGACTCAGCACCAGCTTGATTCTGGGGGCCGGTGTGAGGGCCCAGTGTCCAGCATCAAGGGACAAAATTTGACCAGTTGTGAAATTCTGCCTACAGGTGTACCTCTATTTGTGAATTCCTTTTACATGAAAATTTTCATTGAAAAAAGGGAAAGGAAGGAGGGAAGAAAGAAGGCTCGCTGTGTGCTATTAACAGTCACAAAAATGTTTTAAGTTGTTTCTAGGTGGTGGGCTATGTGGTAATTTTAACTTTTCTATTTTGTGTTTTTCCATTTTTTGAATAGTTTTACAGAAATAACGTTAAATTCTGTAAACAGAGAGAACTAGAAATAAAAAGGCCTTTTCCTCATGGAAGTCAAGCTGGCTGGGGCAGCAGAGTTTGGAGGACAGTGGGGCCCGGGGTCAGTGGGAGGAGCGGGATGGGGAGTCTCCTGGCGGGCCCGAGACGGACGCGGCAGGCAGCGGGCGGGCCGCCTCTGTGCCCTTGCGCTGACCGCGGGCCCCGCGGGCGGAGCTGTCATGCGGGAGGCGGCCGCGCGAGGGCGCGGTCCACCCGGAAACCGCGCCTGGTCCTCGGCGCCACGTTTCCTCCGCAGCCGCTGGCCCGCCGGATTGAAGAAGGGCGGTGGGGATCGCGGGGAAGCTTGCGGGGCGCCGGGAGCCGGAGCATCGCCGCGGGAGCCCGTTCCGGGCGTCCTCTCTCGCACTTGTTGCTGTACTGGCCGTGCCTCACGCAGATTGCCCAGAACTGTTACTGACCCGTGAACCCACCTGATGTCCCTACCTCACGCGGGGCCCTCGGGGCTGTGCCACATTTATCTCAAGGTCCCATGGCCCTGTCCCTAAACCCCATCTTGCAAGGAAGGGAATTGTTTCAGAGATGGAGCCTCCAGGGCAGTCTTAGCAGCCGAAGCGTCTGGAACATAAACTACCTGACGACTCAAACAAATGGCCAAATGTTTCTCGTGTTGAATTTCATTCTTTAAACCTTTTCTTTGCTCTGTTCCCTTTGCTTGGGGTACTCCCCTCTCATCTGGGCCCTCAGTTCTGCCTGTCAGACCCCCTCCCCACACACACCCTTAGGCCAGTCTCTCATCTCCCATCCCTCTTGGGGTTAGAAATCTGGTGAGCTGCTTGTGAGTCTGAGTTCTGCCCCTTTACTGTGTGCGTTCTAACCTCTCCCAACTTCCCCTTTTCTCTCTGAGTCCTTACGGTTGAACTTGGAACCGAGGCCACAATAAAGCCTGTTTGGGAGTCAAAGAGCCTTTCTTCCCTCCCATGTGCTGTTGGAGCAGAATGCAGCTGGGTGTGTCCAGTGCCCCCGCCAGCCTTGGAAGTTCAACTTCTGTCTGAATGCTGACGATTCTTCCAGTGCAGGCTGCTCTGCTGGTCCCCCTTTACCATGGCAACGTCTCTGCGGCCGTCTCTGGCATGGGAGGACTTCGTTTCTCCTGATTGCCACGGTGGCTCTGAGCCTTGTTACCCTGGCAAGTGGAGGGAGGCAGGCATCCACCCCTGCTTGTAGCACCCCTGTGCCCAGAGGAGGACCCAGGCTGGGGCTCACACCACCAAGGCTTGGGTCTTGCTTAGAAAGTACTGCCAGCCCTTGAGCTCTGGACAGAGGGTCTGGGGGATGCTTGTCTCAGGTCCTCAGAGGCTCCTGGAAGACAAACAACACTTGATGGGCAAGGGAAGGTGACAGAGGGGAGGGTTCTGCTCCCTGTCCTCAACGCTGGCATCTGGAGGCCCCGGGCTCAGCCTCTGCAGGGGCTCTACAGGGAAGGAGTGATAGGGTAGGAGCCGGGCTGCCCCACTTGCCCAGGGAGGGTCTGGCTGAAGCCAGGACCAGTTGAGGCCGCTTTCTGCTTGGTACTAGCTGCTCAGGAAAGTGCTAAGGGCATTGGAGAAACTTTCACCCCACAGCTGGAAGCTGGGGTCACACCACGCTGGGGAGCCTGGCATAAGGTACGCAGACATGGGTGTGAGAGCCAGTGAGCACCCACCGCCCCGCTTTCTGGATCCCATGAGCTCCCGGACTCGCAGTGTAATTAGGAAGTCAGGGCAACAACCTTCCCTCTGTTGGCTGAGGACAGAGGCTCAAAGAGGTGCAATGACTTGCCTGCAGTCACACAGGCTTAGCTAGAAATCAGGTCTCCTTGGGCTCCCATCCCCTCCTCTTTCTCCCACAGCTCACTGCCCACTCACCCCTCCCGCCTCCTCCCCGCCCTCATGTACCTCTCCCTCTGTGGGCACCAGGGCTCAGCACTTTTCAGCCTGGGAACAGATGGCCGCCTGAGAGCAGGCGGTGGACGTGGGGCTGGGGCCTGTGGATCTGGGGCCAGGCGGCAGCCAGGCAGGTGGTGGGACCCCTCTCCCCTGGGCAGCAGCCTGTGGCTGTCTCCAGTGGTGCTTAGAATCAGAGCTGCCCTGTGAAGGGGCCCAGGAACGCCTTCTGTGCAAACTCCCCCAGCGACCCGGAGTCTGAGCCTCCCCACCGCTCTGGCAAGAGCTCTCACCTCTTCAGCATCTCTGATGTTTGCTGGGCCCCTCTGCATCCCCGCACCCCAGATCCACTCAGACTATGTCCTTCTTTCCTGGTTTATTGCCATTTCCCAAATTGCTTTCCTGCGTCCACTTTTGTCCCTTTGCTGTGGACTCCCCACAGGCCACAGAGTGAGTCCTAAAATACACCAAAATACACTCCAGCCCTTCACACCTTTCACATGGGGCTCCAGGGACTTCTCCCTGGAAACTGGTCCTACCTCTGTCTCCCGCTCACCTGGTGAAGGCATCCCTCACCCTCACCGTGTTTTGCTGCTTTGTCGTTGCCTGTTTACTTTTCCGTCCCTCCCTGTGGGGAGGACCTGGAGGGCAGGGGTGGGTCTGTCCAATCCTGTGCCTGGTGCGGGGTACTTATTCAACAGTATCACCCAGAGGTGTGATGGAGCCATTGTAGATGCAGGAGCGAGTCCAGCTGTCGGGGGTCCAGGCCTGGTCCTGAGGGTGGGGGCAGTGCATGAAGCTAGGGGGCTTCCGTGGGGTCCCCCAGGCCTCCCTGGTACTTGGTGTGGCTCAGTGTCTCTCCCTCAGCATCCTCCCGACAGAGCAGCAGCCAGGAGGGTGGTGGGACCCCTATCCCCTGGGCAGCTGTTTCAGATGCAGTAATTCTGGTAGGGCCTCCTGAGCTGGGCATCGGACTTGTAACAGGGCTTCATAGAGAAATAATTTCCTTTGGAAATGAATGTTTTGGATGAAAGGAGAGAGGACGTAAACTCCATGTACCCTAGAGCTGTACACATAATCACACAGTGTTTGGATTTTTCTCTCCAGAAAGGGAACACCCCTGTCATCATCCATCCACTCAATCTACTGAGCACATGTAGAAGGGGGTGCAGAGAAGTGGGGAGCGCTGTGTCCCTGGTGTATCTGGACAGCCCGGAAGTTAGAATACCAGTGAGTTCCAGTCGGCAGTGAAGCTCTGTGACTCTGGCACCCTCATCCCCCATTTCCAATTCAGAGGTGACTAACATTACTACAACCCCCCCCCCAAAAAAAACAAAAAACACTACTGGAGTGATAATGGAAGAAAAAAAATTCCTGGGCAAATCCCCAGTTGCGTCATCTTTTGGTTTCAGTGAATAAGTGTGTCTCAAACTGGCAACCTTTTTACCTAAAAGCCAGGTTTGGCAAATCCAAAGAACTGGGGCTGGGTGCCTGGCTCGGCACCCAGGGGTGGCCGACCTGAGTGAGTTCTCTAGACGATCACACGTGAGGATACCCCCTCGTGGTCTCTGATCAGCATCTTCCAGGCCGCAGAACCAGCAGAGCCCACGTCTGTTGGGAGGGAATTGAACTGAGCTGTCTGCACTGCCCCAGCCAAAAGCTTAAGATCTGCCAGAAACGAAGAGATTCGCAGGTGAGGACATCACAGACTTTCCGAGAACCTCATTCCGAACTCAGCAAGTTGACCAAGCTGTGGGCGAGGCTGCTCTTCTTTGTTTTTCATTAATTGATGTGTTTGAAGAATGAGATTTCAAGATGCGTTATACATCCACCCTGGTTCCTGCAGAGACTTTGAAACACACCTCATTAGCTTTGCTGGGTCCAGCCGTCAGGTCAAGGGGTGTTCCTTCCTGTTGAATTTTTATGCACATGAGATGGAATCGAATTTGTTCCCACTTACTGATCTGCGTAAATGTGCTGTGATGTCTGAGGATGAGGTAACTGGATCCACTGCCATAATCATCTGCTAACATTTTCAAGGAGAGAGGCCGAGGCCAAGGCCATCGAAGGCAGTTTATTATGAATAATGCCATCTGGACTTACTTGGATAAAATTATTTTCTAACATAGGAGCTCTCTGCCTCCAGAAATTTAAATCAACGATGAGTCATTCACTTGAGTTGCTGATTTTCCAGGTTGGATCACATGCCCACCAGAGCCTGCGGTAGTCAGGTCGACCCAAATCGGATTAACTGAATCCAGAATGGGAAAGAGATGGAGTGTCCCTGAAAAATCAGGTTGCCGATGACTAAGAAAGGTGGGGGGGACACTGGTCAGGCAGGACCAGCTGGTGCCCACTGAAGTCAGGCAAGAGGCAGAGGAGGGTGCCTTACCCCCAACCCTGTCCTCCAGCACCTCCTGGGCAGATGCTTTTAGGCCAGACGCTAAGGACACAAGCTGCATGCCCTTGCTCGTTCATTTAGCTGTCCAGTCATGGACCAGGACCTGATACTGCCGAGGACGCCAAGTGAGCAAGCTGTGGTCCTGGTTCTCAAAGATCTGAGTGTTTTGCATGGTTCATACTCGTAGACCTGTCGTGAGCCAGGAGCCAGGGGTGAAGTGATACTTTTCCTCTTGCTGGAATCACCTTATTTCCTCTTTCTAGCAAAGACGGGTGAAGAAACCTGTCCGTTGTAGAGAAGGCATCTGATGCTCACCGAGGTCATGAGTTGTCCTCATTACGCATGGGGAAAGGCGGTTTCAATGACAGTGCACACTGTGGTCCTTGTAAGTGGGGCCAGGCAGAGGCACTGAGAACACACTGGTTCAACTCATGTCATGATCTCTGTATCCAGGACGGTCCCTCGCCCCGACCCAAGCAGAGGACCAGCCCTGGGCGAGTGTTTGCTGGGCCACAGCAGCGTTTGCCCCGACTCCTTCAGTTTTTAGTTCCCTGCGTACTGAGCATGTTTGATTTTTTAAAAATCGTCGTTTTTTTCCTTCCAATGAACTTACTCATGCTCTTTGAACTTCAAGATGGAAAAATCAAAGTCAGAATCCAGAAGTTTCCCGGGAGCTCCTGACCTACTTCTGGGGAAACCAGTTCTTGTGGGAAGTACACACAGGGAACTGTTGCCAAAGGTTTCACACAGATGCTGGCGCAAGCGTCCCTGAGGCTGGGCACCTGGGGGCCCCTCCGGGAGTCAGCGCACGAGCAGTCACGTCCAGCGCCATGCTTGGCTGGGTTCTGCCTCAGTGTCCAGACCAACACTGAGGGCACGGGTGGGACCTGCCAGGCCACTCTCCTCCCTGCCCTGCCCCCCCACCTCTCCATGACCTCCGGCACAGCCCTGGGCTCTCCCCGGCCGGAGCCAGGTGACCTGAATGGAAAGCAGGACTCAGTGTCCCACTCATCTTGGAACTCAGTCCCAGCAACTGGTTACCTTGCTGCCAACCAGGTAGCTGTGCCTTTGTGCGCAAACCCTGGTCTAGACAATCTCTCTATTCCCGTGGACTCCCCTGGCCCTGCGCTGGCCCCAGCAACTGGAGGTGACTTCTGCGCCTTTGCATCTGGGGCCTCACCCTGAACCCTGGTGACACACGGAAGCTCTGACGTGGCCTGTTCCTGGATGCCTGTCGGGGCACATCCTTACTCTCCACTCCCTCCTACATTCCAAGGCCACAGCCAGTGACCTGACCGCCATCTTGCATATGATACCATGAATGGACTTTGTAATCCTGATGCTTCTTTCCTGGAGAGGAAAATTAATTTCCATATTTGGTGATTTCCTTTGATAGATTTGACTGTTCATCTCACACACACACACACACACACACACACACACTCTCTCTCTCTCTCTCTCTCTCTTCTCTCTCACAGTTTGAGACGGAGCCCGGAAACAAACTGCACAGAAAGGCTCATGCTGGCTCAGGACTTGCAGCTCTGAAAGCCGCCCTGCCCACCCCCCGTGGCCCAGTGACCTGTGGGTGGGCGTTTGCCCCACTTCGTGCTCAGAGGGGGTTAGATTGCCGCTCTGAGTTAGAGCACGTTCTGCCTTCCCCAGACTTCTGGGCACCGGGTTTCTGCGTATGAGATGGAGCCGGCCAGGACTGTGGCGTGGAAGGTGGACATGCTTGCAGGTGCCCTTGCTTCGTGGGGTTCCCGTGAGGATTAGAAGAAAACTGGAGTGAGGGCCGAGCCTAGAGCCCGGCTCCCAGCGTGTGCTCAGGGATGCCAGGTGTGCCTGTTACTGCCCCCAAGGGGGCGCCCGCTGGCGGGACTCTCACTGAGACTTCCACAAAAGCCTCCTCCGCCCGGGTCCCGCGTCTCTCTGTGAACTGCATTCTGCCACCTGGCTGCCCTGGGTGGGGCTTTCTTGGTCTTTTCCTACCTGACTCTCTGGCTCATTCCAGGAAGTGGGGACCTTCCATTCGGACAGGACTCTCCCCAGGTCTGGAGAGCTGCCTTGGAGTTGGAGACCCAGTTCAAACTCCAGCCCCACCCGGGCCAGCTGAGAGGCCCTGGGAACACCTTTGTCTTCCAAGGCCCGTTTCCCCATCTTTGAAATGATGAGAACAGCACCAGCCTTATGGGTTCGCCGAGGAAAGGAACCATCCGGATATGGGCAGCACTTAATTCCAGCTCAGCCAAGGACAGCTGCTGCTTCTGGGTTATTCAGTGACTGCCCTACACATGCCTGTCATCGTTGTCACCTGTGACATCTCTGTGACACTCCTTGCTGAGGAGGAAACCACGGGAGGTTCTTGAGAGGAACCCGTATCAAGAAGAGAGTCGTGGAGTTATCTTCAGAGGGTTTCCAGTGGCCCAGCTGCACCTGTCCCTTGCACGAGCCTTCCTGGGTGTGTAGGAGCAAGCACACCAGCTTCCGCACCACGGGGCTGTGCTGTTCGCTGTCCTGCTCACACCTTCTCTCATCTGCCTTGTTTATTCCCTCCTGTCCTCATCCTGGAGGACTGGAGGCTCCTTGGGGACAGAATCCCCTTCAAACAGAACATCCCGTAGTCTCCATGATTTGATCTGCTCTGCGTGTGATGATCGCATCACTTCTCCACTGTGTGTTGGGTGGCTGAGTGAAGCTGAGAGCGTAGGTGCCTTGATTACTGATTCAAAGCCGTGTGTTCGGACTTGCACACAGGGACCCCTCCAGGTCCCCGACCAGCCCCCGGCCCCTGTTAGTCGTCATGACCATCCTCCTCAACTGTCAGTAGGGCAGCCGTATCATTGGTCACTCAGACGGGCACAGTTCTGAATGTGAAAGCAGGGCTGGTGATAATTCCTCCAGGACAGCAGGTGGGACCAACTACGACTGTCACCCCATTTATTGAACAAACACCGTGGAAGACTCCATGCTGAGCATTTTGCTTACCTTATCCCTAATCTGTGAAAAGCTCTGTTAGGTGTAACTGTCTCTTCTCACTGCATAGATCAGAGTTCTGAGGCCCAAGAGAGGAAAGGACCCAGACCAAGGCTATCTCACCTGTGAGGGGCAGAACCAGGCTGCCTGTACCCGGAGCTGGGCCTGTGACCACCTGCTGACCTGCCCTCTGCTCACTCACTGGACACAGCAAATGCCCGTGGAGTAGCCCCGTTACACAGACAGTTGGCGAGGCACAGAGACCAGGAGGGTAACGTGGAATTCTGGGACCTCTGGCCAGGCTGGGAGTCCGACAGCTCTCAGGGCCCTTTGTTTATCCTGCTCTGCCCAGACCTGTCGGGGTAACTCCCAGATCCCGGGGTGATGTGAGGAGCACTGTGGATTTGGGCTTCTGCAAGTGCTGGTGGCCCCCTCGGGTTAGTCCAGGAGCCGTCGTCTCCGGCTCAGTTCCACGGCTGGGGAGCGGGATGCCCTGTTCCCACCGAGGGAGCTGGAAATAGTTCAGGCATTTCTCATTCTTGTTCAAAACAGGGATTAGCCCAGGTGACCCCAATGGCCCCACGTGGGCTCCGCGTGTCCGCTGACAATAATTGACAGTGGGACAGCTATCTCCACATGGGCCATCACGCTGCAGCATCTCCACGCGCTCACCAGGACAGAAGGCCCCTGGGAGTCCGTGGTTGCGTAGCCCACCTGCTGCTCCTCCGGCCGCCTCTTCCCGGCTCCCCTCGAGTCTCAGCAACCCTGCTCTCCTCCAGGAACCAGGCAGCCAGAGAGCCCGCACTCCAGGGCCATGGCCACAGCGTGCTGTACGGTGGTCATGAGCACCCAGGGTTGTCTTGAAATGCACTTACCCAAAGTGCCAGTGTCAGAATGGACAACCAGGAAAGAAGACACAGAGAAATACCACAGTCAAATTTAGAAAAAGGGAAGGTGCATCGATCTTCTTTCTTTACATTTCTACTTCTAAGCAATTGAAAGGCCACCCTGCGTGGTGATTCTCTCTCCATCCCTGTGCTCCTGGCGCATGTTTCTAATCCCTCTTCTTGGGAATTTCCTGAGGAGAACACACTATTTTACTCCTCATAAAGAGCTTCTGTGACCAAAGACACAATCCAAAATACCACATGCTTTTCTACTCTGTGTTACTGGACGATTGTAGGTTGTCCGGGCAGTGGTGCTACGGACTGGACAATAGGACTTCCACCCCATGCAAGCCTCATGCATGCACAGCGTCCAAATCTACCACGTGATTTTTATAGACGCTTCTCCTTCTTAATTACATGACAGTGTGATACTATTATTTTCATCACCAGTCTCTTTGCTAACACATATCCAGCCCTGAATGTCCCAGGTTCTGTCATGATTCCTCTGTATTTATGATCATATTGAATGCTGCCAACAGCTTTGCAGTGGAGTTTTAGTGAGGATAACAAGAGCTACTTTAAGAAAGAGATGCAAAGAGGGGAGGGCATAGCTCAGTGGTGGAGTGTGTGCTTAACATGCACAAGGTCCTAGGTTCAATCCCCAGCACCTCCATTTAAAAAAATTAAAAATAAACTGAATTACCTCCTCACAAGGTCCTGGGTCCACTCCTCAGTCCCTCCATTAAAACAATTTTTTTAAAATAAACCTAATTACCTCCTCCCCCCAAAAAAATATTTTAAAAGAGAGAAAGAGATGCAAAAATGCGACGGCTCTAACCAGATTGAAGATGACTTCTCCCTCACGTGACAGTCTGTGTTCCAAGTTGGAAGGCAGCATCGTGGGGGTGGACGGCGGCTCTGGTCTTGTCTACATGTGCCTTCCAGAGTGGCTCGGTCCCTGCTGCTCAGCCATCAGAAACAGAGAACAAGAGGGCGGAGGAAGACACCTAGAAATAGCACGTGGCAGCTCCACTCCTCCCAAGGGAGAGGGTGGAGTCACAGGACCATGAGGTGAGGGAGGCGGGGAACGTGGTCCAGCACCAGCCCTGCCCTGCAGCAGTTGGAGGGTGTGGAGAAGGGAAAGAGCCAGGGACTTCCAGCACTGGGAGCAGCCTTTTCCTGATGAGGAGACTGAGGCACAGGTGGAGTGAGGAGCCCCTCCAAGAGCCCAGACAGTGAATGTGGAGCTGGGTTGGTGCTCAGGTTGTCCAGCCTCAGATCCATGCTTTCAGTCATCATCCTTTATTGGATTCATAATTAAATATTAATTGTGACAGATGACACCGATCTTCACACCTACTGTGTCCTTCTGCCCCAAAGTGTCAAAGCCACTCATTCGTCCTGAAAGTACCCTGAGACATCTGACACCAGACTCTTGAGTCTAAAGCGAGAGCTGAGACTCTGCAGAGCCCTGAGGAGCCGGCAGGGACTGCTCGGACAAGAGACTGGCCGGTGGGCAGGACCAGTTTCCCAAGGGCCAGGAGGACATGACTTTGTCCTCCGTCAACTCTGGGCTGTGGGGATGCTTCAGCCAGAACTGTGAATCGGGAGAACTCCGGGGCCAGCGGCAGCCCACAGCTGCAGTTAACACTTCCTTCAGCCAGGCACCCTCTCCTCGGAGGAATTTTCACACTCGTTGCATCTTAAAGAGCTCATTGCTACTCTCAGCAGCTCCTTCTTGTCGTGGACCATTTCATAGATCTCTTCTCTCCCCTTGGACAGCATCGTTAGTGCGGGGCTAGAAGGTGGAGAAGTTGGGAAGTCAGAAGAACAAAGCAGCAGGTGCCATTTGGTGGCAATTTCCAGTTATGGGGTGTCTATTTCCAGTTGTGGGGCATCTCCCATGTGCAGCCAGCAGGCGGGCAGGTCTCCAAGGTCCTGGCCAGGAGGAGGCAAGAGCCTGGCAGAGGCTTGGAAACCCATCCCTGGGTTCCCTATGCAAGGACTAAAGCATGTCTCCTGAATTTCTCCCCTTCGTTTATTTGTTAATCCCACCTATGAAAGTGGATCCATTCAATTTTTTTTTATCCATAAGAGGGTATTAGGACCAATCCCTGGGATGAAATATTCTGCAGCAATTCCAAAGTACGAGATAGATACTCTATACAGCAATATATAGGGCTGGGAAGGACCAGACAGCGAGCAGTGAGGTAAGAGGAGAGCCTGGAGAGGAAGAGCCCCGGAGACCAGGGCAGAGGAGCTTCAAGAGGGAGGGAGAGGCCAGCTGTCACAGATGCTCCAGGTACAACCCATGCAGGGTTAGAGAGAGAGAGAGATGTAGACGTGGATATACAGGCCCACCTTGGAGATACTGTGAGTTCAGTCCAGGCCCCAGAATAAAGCAAACATTGCAATAAAGCAGGTCACACAAATGTTTTGGTTTCCTGGTGCATATAAATGTTATGTTTATGCTACATGGTAGTCTGTTCAGGGTACAATCTCATTGTGTCTAAAAAACAATGAAAAAGACTTTTTTGCTAAAAAATGCTAGCCATCCTCTGAGCCTTCTCCCAGTCGTAATCTTTTGCAATAGCAATCACAGATCACCATACACACGTAGTAATAATAGTGAAAAAATTTGAAATACGGTGTGAATTATCAAAATCTGACCCCGAGACACGAAGCGAGCAAACACTGTTGGAAAAATGGCACTGAAAGACTTGCTTGGCACAGGGTTGCCACAAAGCTCCGGTTTGTGAAAAACACAGCATCTGTGAAGCACAATAAATTGAAGTATGCCTGCGTGTGTATATATATTATATACACACTCGACACCAGACATGTAAATGCATGGAGCATTCTGGAAGCATACAAACCAAACTGTTAGGGATTGAGTTTGCACGAGGAGGAAAGGGAACTTCCTCTTGTCCTCCTGTGTCAGGCGTCTGTGTGGTCCTCATGTAATTAAAAAACAGGAAAAATAAGTGTAAAAGGTAGGGAGATCTCCAGTGGAGAGGGCCTCTCCCTGCAGGACCTTCCTGCAAGGGGGCTCAGGGTGCCCCAGCCCAGACTTCTCCCTTCCGTCATCACAGGCACCCACCCTTCCTTCTCCATGACCTGGGGCTGACTCCATACTCCAGACCTGTCAGCACAGCCCCATTCTGACCCCTGTCTGCCTCCCTGCCCCGGCAGCTGTCTCCTTCCAAACCAGTTAACACAGGCAGGAAAAAGTAATTCCACGATTGGTTGCAGTTCTCTGTGAAGGTATAAATTATATGTGACACTGCGACATTTGCAACAGACTGCCACGTTGATTTGGTTTTTGTCTGTGGCAGTTCTTTTATCAATAAGCTTTTTTCCCTGAGCTGTTTCAGACTCTTTTTTGTGCAGATGATTGAAGACATTCTGGAAATTTCTTTCTTTTTGAACGATGCATTTCATCCAGATACCCTAAACCTCTGAGGCAAAACAAATACAGCTCATGCACATGCGCACATACAAACACACACACGCTTTTTCAGTCTCTTGTCAGGCTGAGAGTCTCAGGGTAAATGAGCCAATTTGTTTTAATTTAAATATGAAAGTGGGAGAAGTAAACCTAATGGACATGCATGAGAGAACACAGAGCTCTAAGCTAGGGAAAAAAAGAAACAAAGATGTATTTGTCACATCTCTCGTGATAAATGATGTTTGTGCAATTAAACAGAACCAGCCCGGCGGCTGTGAACACCTCAATGCATTATATTTTTATCTGCAGGGCCGTTAGCCTCATGTTTCCTGTCATAGACTCTAAACATCACAGGTCCGTGGAGGAGGGGTGCTTTGACTGCAAGGATGCTGAGTTATGCCAAGCCATACAGAAAAGTAGGTCAGTGGGTCACCCATACAAACCTGAACAGAAATGACGTTTGACCCCTGTGAGCACAGTGCTCCCAGAGCCCATAGAGTGGCTGATGGAGACCCTGGATGGAGGAGGCCGGATGTGAGGCAGCTGCATCCCAGGGAACAAGAAAACTTGGGGGAAACCCAGGGTTTACGTGGAGATGCAGGAAGAGTGAGAGATGGGCCTAGAAGCATTCCTCTGGAGCTCAAAGCTGTGGACATCTGTGGCCCAGAAGAGAGGAGTGCACACGTGGGTGGAGCCCAGAAATCTGGAGGACTCGCCCCTTACAGCTGTGGACATCATGGACGTTGCTTGGAGCTGAATCCAAGAGCAAGTAGATGAACGAAGGTCTAATATGAACTTTCAGCGCTGTGAGGGAGCTTAGGTGCTATTAGGCTCAACCTCCCACACTGAGCAAGAATTCCCTCTCCAGGACCCTGGACAGCGGGCCCGAATGTCCAGCTCCTCCCAAACTCAAGGAGTGGTGGGCGTTCAGGGGTACGTGGGTTCCTTCATGATGAAGGTTCCTGGTCCAGAGTGGGTGGGCTAATCCACTGGATCGAGCGGTCCCCCTTCCTCTCTCATGTCCTGTGCGTGAGCCTTCCCCGCCTGCAGCTCCATGCATGACCTCCCCCTACAGACACCCTCCTTGGGACAAGTATGTGCAAGTGACTGCACTCCCCTGGGGAAACCCAGGACAGGTGACACCGACATTGGTTCCCCAATCCCCAAGTGGCCACCTTTTGGTCCTGCTTCTGTCCTTGGAGCCGCAGAGGCCACATCCTTTCCCTTCCTCTCGAACCCTGAGTCCACAGACAGCATGCCCTCAGTCCTCCTGTTACTCAGCTGCACATTGTGCGGTGGGTTCTCCTGTAACGTAGTTTCTGGCACCTTCAATGTCCTGGTCACCTTCAGATCTGGCTGTGCCTCCTTTCAATTCCGAGTTGTGACCTGTGCATGAATGGAGGGAGAGAGCCAGGAAGCCTTTATCCAATCAGTACTGTGTCTGACTCCAGAAGCGTGAATTGGACTGAAACAATGTAAGCAGTTTTTGGAGATTTTCCAGAACAGGTTGAGAAAGATTGGCAGAATCCCAGGAGCTGGAGAGTTGTGACTCAGAGGAGGAGGACCGCCTCCCGGGTGTGGACACCAAGAGAGGAACAGGCGGCTAGAACCGCCCTGGGCCACGGAGGCTGCTTAGGGGCAGGGAGGCCTGCCTTACCTTGTCCAGGCCGTAGCCCTTGACCTCCACCGTGATGCTTCTCGGGGCTACTTTGTGATCAGCTGCAGAGTCTTCTACGCCTGGGAGCTGCTCTCTCTAACCAGGAATCTTCCTTCACACCTGGAGAAAATACGCCAGGTCTCAAGTCCTGGGCCTCAGGACAATGTGCCTCCCATGTGGACTGTGGGGCAGGATGGGACCCCAGGTTCGTTCCCTGTGTGTCCCTCACCGGGAGAAAAGGGCCCCAGTGTTCCTGCTCTGAGCCCGCCTGTCCCCACCATCACGCGGCCCCTACTCCGCCCACAGGCCGCCGGGCTCTGGGCAGTTACTCCTCATGTCTGACCTGCCTTCACGTGCTTCACTGGGAGGTGATCTCAAACCTTCCCCTGGAGAATCCTCCTCTTTTCTTGTGCTCACTTCCACAGCTTCTGCCCTTTTCTGGACTTCAGGTGGCAAAACTTAAGCTGCAATTTTATCACAACTGCCTTACCTGCAGTTACTGCTTCCATTCCCCGGGGAGAGGTGGCTTTGTGGAGGCCTCAGACCCTTCCCCAGGCTTCCTGCACACTGATATCAGTCTGGAGAGCAAGTAAATGGCACACCTTTCCACTGTTAATATTCCTTCTGAAACAACATCTCTTTATTACTATGTTTAGACAACTTACTAGGACTTCAAACTGACGATGCTTAAAGTTTTCATCTCAGATTCTAAGCGATGGCTGGTTCTCTGCACAGAGGACGACTTAGTATTGGATGGACATCAGAACTGAACCCACTGGCTTTGCTGAGTTCCAAGGTCCGAGGTGGGGCTACTGGACACAGAGACAATTCATACTTTGATGTGGTCTGGGCCACAGGACAGTGAGTCCACGGAAGGCCCGCTCTGTGTCCCAGCATCCCCACAAAGCTGGCTCAAAACAA